TCACCATCACTATTGTCGTTATCGGCACTGCTGTCACTATTGTCGTTATCGGCACTGCTGTCACTATTGTCATTATCGGCACTGCTGTCACTATTGTCGTTATCGGCACTGCTGTCACCATTGTCGTTATCGGCACTGCTGTCACCATTATCGTTATCGGCACTGCTGTCACTATTGTCGCCATGTAAGCTGTTACTACCATTCCTGCTGTACCTAAACTCAACTCCAAACCAAAACCCGTACATATTTTTTTTTATAATAGTTACACCTAACAACCTTCCCCCCCACCCAGACACACTCAAAATCACCTTCCTCGTTTCCTTCACCTAATCCCAGGTACTATACCCCCCCGCCCATACCCCCTCCGCGTCCTAAATATTGACTCACCCACAACAACTTCATATATCAAGAGAAATATCGCGATCCTAATTTTACGGTAAATAACAAAGCAAACATGGAACGTATATATGGCGTTTTGATCTTATTTACAGATTTAGTTGCATTAAACACAGGGCACAGCTCGATGGCCGCGATACATATTTTGGCCAGTGAAAACAATAGTAATCATATTAAGAGGAAAGGTAATGAAGGGGTGCCGGCAGAGAGCCATAAACAACCTGCTCGAGATAGAATTCGACACTGGAGAGTGAAACAGGTTCTGAGACATCAACCACGAACTGAACCTTAATGCGTGATCTCTGATTGTACCTGGCAGAGAGGAAAAAAACGATATATATATATATATATATATATATATATATATATATATATATATATATATATATATATATATATATATATATATATATATATATATATATATTCATTTTCTTCATTGTATTCAGATATTCAGATTTTATTTCTTATTCGTTTTTTTTTCCGGGATGAGAATATTTCTTTACTTCATTTCTTTTTTATTTTCCTTTACGTGGGTGGGTTTAAGAATTCGTTATTTTGCTAATTTCTTGATCACATTCATTCCTCTTACGGTAATATTCTATCTTATTGACGCCATCTTGATAATAATTGATTTGCTTCGATATTTTCACTAAATCAATTGTTTAATGTTTAATAAAGCAACTCTGGTGTTGGAGCGAGACGAAAACATCTATGAATTTACTCAAGAAAATACAAATAGGCCCAATGACTTCGAGCCTCAGTGAACATTACAAAAAAATCCGTCAACACTGTCTAATTTTAGCAGCAAACAAATCACTGACAATATGTAAATGAACCGCATCCATGTAAACACAAAGTAAAGTAAAAAATCTACATATTTATTTCTATAATAAATTTACATTGTATTTATGATCATCGCTCGTTTTATGCCATTTTATTTTATTTTAATTTTTATTTTTTTATTAGTCGTTTTGTTAGTAAAGACATAGTGTTAGTATTATCTGACATACACACCTGTATTAACCACACAGTACCTGATACACACACACACACACACACCTGCATGGACCATCGGGAGAGAACGATTAGACCCTCAAAGGAATCTACTGTACACGTCATTATGGAACCATATGCGTCACCACATCAACGTCCGTCTCCACTCCATATAGAATTCACAGATTTTCTTGAAATTTAGCAAGGACATCGTTCTCTTGCCTCCCGAGTACGACTATATATGGTATGAGCCGATTAGAACTGAACATGAGAAAAGCCACTATTCGTTCATGATATATTTGTAAACAGTATCATTACCTTGCATACTGAGCTGTGCAGGTCTATAGTGTTGGTGAGGGTTTTCGGGCATATATGGTGTGTTCGACTTCACACACACACACACACACACACACACACACACACACACACACACACACACACACACACACACATCTTGTCTTCATAGTAACATTACAAAGAGTGACGATTAAAATTCCAGTGAGTAATAAACAAGCAAAACAGAATCATTCATCAACTTTCAGGTTAAACATTTTTACGACGCCGCTTCAAATTGTTTATATATTCCATTCCTTCTCTTTATTTGTTAAGGTCTTGTTGGCCATAAACACTCAGGTTTTATATATAATTCGGGGCCTCCCTCAACCGGGCGTGGTGGAGGCCAGATGTCGGAGCATTGACGGTGGAGGAGGGAGAAGAGGAAGGAGGAGGAGGAGGAAGGAGGAAGGAGGAAGGAGGGAGGAGGAGGGAGGAGGAGGAGGAAGGAGGGAGGAGAAGGAGAGACTATGGTGGGGGGTGGTAGGGAAGAGGAGAGGAGAGGAGAAGGTCAATCCTCACAGCCAAGCTTGTAAACACGTCAGAGTCGAAATCGGAATAATCGAATCACTGACTGGAGGATTGGGTGAGGGGGAGGTGGGGGGGGGAGGTTAAATATATGTGAATCAGATGTGGGATTAAAAGAAAGGAATGGGTTTTGATGTATAATATTTTTGATTGGAGATTGGGGTAAAACGAAGCCCAATATGTGATACCCTGATTGGAGATTGGAATATTCGGAACATAGGAGATTAAACACAAGACGACAGAGACTACTAGGATTAGTAAATGACACCTCGATTAGTGATTGGATGAAGCGATTTAAGAACTTGAGGATTCGGGTGGTCAATGCATGAGTCATAATAAGAGTCAGGGGAATCGAATGAGAAATTTAAGAATCCATACTTATCAGACTCGCCTTAGCAGAATCACACCACAAACTTGAGGATTCTGAAGTGATACCCGTGAGGCGTGACTCGTGAATTAAGAGAGAATCCGGGAAAAAATTAAAGATTCAGAGATTCAAGATAATGAAATTTAGATTCGTAAGTCAGAAAAGGTAAATAGTGTATCCAAAAGCTAATCAAATTCATATGGATTTTAATATTAGAAAAATCGTTTCAGACTCACTATTGACAAACCAAATTTCATGGAATGATTCGCAAATTATGGAAGAACTTGGAGAAGGAAATTAAAGATTCAGAGACACAATGCATGAAACTTAAGATTGGCGATTCATTAATCACACCAACTTAAGACTCAGAGATTAGAGGAGAAAGATCAAATCCGTTCAAGGAGTCATGGAATGGATTCACGGATTGTGTGTGGGGGGGAGGGGGGAGGGGGGAAGGGGGATCATTTCACGGACTTGCAGGGGCCAGAAACTAAATTCAGGAGAACCATCTTAATGATTGGCAGAAGCGAATCACAAACTTAACGATTCACAAACTTAGTCAATGAAGCCCACATAAATTAAAAGGAACTATGATAGAAGACTTTGATTCCCCTCTGCCCGTCCCAGGGAAAAAAAACACAACATATATATTAATAAAAAAAAAAACGTAAAAACTATGAAAAAAAGGTTTTAAAACTCAGAATAGAAAAGATACAAAAAAAAAGCGTTACATGGAATAAACAAATAATAAATCAGAAATAACAAATTAAACTAAATAGAACAAACCGGGACATAAATATTAAAAATAAATAAATAAATAAATAAATAAATAAATAAATGCTCATCAAAACACATTAAAAAATAAAATAAAACAAATGTGAAAAGTTATGACCAAAAAAAAAAAATGGCAAAAAAAAAAAAATTACTTCCCGAAAATATAACATCATAAAACCATAAAACGAAAGATTAGCAAATAAATAAATAAAACAAAACCGAGAAATAAAACCAGTCGTATACAATAATAAAAGTAGATAAACCACAAGAAGACTGAATTGTTTAACATAAGACATACAAGACCTGGAGTAACAATATACAAAGAAAACAACAGCAACAATAAACAACAACAACAACAACAATTAAAACAACAAGCAGCAACAAAAAACAAACAACAACAATAACAACAAATAAACAACAACCATTACAACAAAAACAGCAATAATAAACAACAACAAACAACAAATAAACTGCAAACAACAACATCAAACAATAACAACAACACCCAACAACAGCAAAGCACTCATTACCCATAACTCCTTAACAGTTATCATCAGAAGAACGTAACTTGGCCCTCAAACAAACTCTCGGGCGGGGTGTACAGATCTCTCTCTCTCTCTCTCTCTCTCTCTCTCTCTCTCTCTCGCTGCTTATTCTCTATATTTTTCGTTCCTTATTTTCTTGCATTCGATTCATTGTAATAAAATTTCCATGTGTGTGTGTGTGTGTGTGTGTGTGTGTGTGTGTGTGTGTGTGTGTGTGTGCGTGTAATAATAATAATAATAATAATTAACGGTTTATTGAAAGAGCTTGGCAGCCAGAAGGCTGAAAATATACAGTTACACATATTTGGGGAATGGGTTACAGATGCAAATAATATACAAGTAACAAGTGACACAAATAAGACATATAATAACTAGATGGGGAAAGCTCAAACTACAGTTCATTTCCAGCATAGTGACGGTGTAAGGAGCAGTGTTTACTGGGGAGTGAATACACTGATTTATTACAAGTTATTGATAATCTTTACAATGGATTTGGGACTGGGCTTGTTCTTATAGCGATCAGTTCGTGCGTATGGGCTGGATGCGGTTGTGGTAATCCGAACAGCAATTCTCGCGCGTGTGTGTGTGTGTGTGTGTGTGTGTGTGTGTGTGTGTGTGTGTGTGTGTGTGTGTGTGTGTGTGTGTGTGCGTGCGTGTGTGTGTGTGTGTGTGTGTGTGTGTGCGTGTGTGTGTGTCCGTGTGTAAATATTGTCTTGATGATACATGCTGGTAGGGGCGGTGTGTGTGTACATGCTTTATGGACAGACTTGTTTCTTATATACAGCTAAGTTCCTCATTAAGTTCGGATGCGTTTCTTATTACGGACAAGCAGTCACGTTCCTCAATACGGACGTCGTGTATATCTACCCACTACGGCATTCTCCCCCTCCCTCCTGTCCTCTACTACGGACGAACGCACTACGGACATTTTGCAACTACGAACGTTCATCCTACACTATATAGACACATTTATAAGTACGAGGGCGCCTACAACTCCCACTACGGACGCCCACCCACCCCAGCCAGCACTAGGACAGGCACAAGCTGGGTAATTACACGGTATGACTCGTAATGTTGACCTTGTGTAAGACAAATCACCGCGTGGGGGAAAATTCTCGCTGATAACTCGTTGAAAGTTCATTTTTACGCATCTTGGGGTAAACGTGCGAAGCCTTGTGGAGTACTGTACTTCACAAGACGACGACGACGATGGTGACGACGAAGATGGTGACGACGAAGATGATGGTGACGACGAAGATGATGGTGACGACGAAGATGATGGTGACGACGAAGATGATGGTGACGACGATGAAGATATTGTGGCCTCGAGGCGATGTATTCGACCCCATTAACTTATCTTATGTAGCAATGTCCTTGCAGAAAACATCACTTAGATTAAACAATTAATACTAAGAATAGTAACAGTCATAAGGTCATTAAGATTCACCCGTAAAATGAAAGTGGTTCTTAACTCTCAACAATATATCACGTTAAAATGACTACAAGTAAGTCACTACTAACGGCAACCATCACTTTACTGACTAATCTTACCAGGAAGGAATCATGTACTGTTCCTGGTAAAATTAGACAAGATTTAACAGATAGTTTATTATATTTCCCTCACCTGGGAAACTATTACTCCACACCGTAACGTTTGGAGGAGCACCACACGAGAAGGTGTCAATATTTTTGAGTTAGCCAGATTGCGTACCGAGGCAGACAAGCGCCAGCGCCGGAAAGACGCTGCCGCCGCCCCTCCCGCACTAGCTGTAGCCCTCCACACGTACAACATCTGTGGACGACCCTGCCGGTGCCGTATCGGCCTCTGGAGTCACCTCAGAGCCCGCCAACGAAGGTGACATCCTTAATAACTCATATCATTGTATCATAGACGGATGATCAACACACTCGATTCCCAGTTACAGCTAAGTAGTAGTATTAGTAGTATAACTCCCCGGAGCTATGGAGGAAGTGGCGTACTCTCTTAATAAGACTTGAGAATTTAAACTACCCAAAATTATCTAACCCATTTCATAGTTTAATAACTTCAAACACTTAATAGATAACAAACAGTGTAAGTCTAATAAAAGAATAATAATACCTTAGGAGCGGTACGTCAAGTATGATAAAAACGTGTTCAATCTATAATGTGCTTCAAGTTACTAATTTCAAATTGTGTCAAACGATTTCTAAACTTTTAGGATTATTAAGCTGGAGATGAAGTAATTTTGCTTCTGAACCTGCTGTACTTGTTGCTGAGTCTACTGTACTTGTTGCTGAGTCTACTGTACTTGTTGCTCAGTCTGTACTAATACCGTTGTTTTTGTACTCAAACCTGTACTTTTGTCCCTGAATCTGTACTTGTAATTGGATTCGTACCTGTACTTACTCTCTAATTCCTTAATTATCAATATAAAATAATATCACAAAGAAATGCACCCAGATAAACACACACACACACACACACACACACACACACACACACACACACACCATAAAATTCATGTAAAAATGGGTTAAACACGCTGGCAACGAGCTGGCCGAGCCAATAAGCTGACAAATAACGGGAATTCCTAAACCATTACAATCTGTTCTGACTACCTTATTAAGTACACAACAGCTATTGAAATATTGATAACGCGATCCAGTAGAAATAATAAGGTGCATATAGAATAAAGGAGGAGAAGATTTATAGATAAGAGTGGCTGATACGTCTGACCGTCTGTGGGTCTGCCTGTCTGTCTGTCGGTCAGGGTGGAAGTAGACACTTAAGCCTATATTTCAGGACGAGGCTTGAGTGCCGGATCCGCTTCACTGGTCAGGAAGCGGACTTACGGCAACACACACACACACACACACACACACACACACACACACACACACACACACAGTTAATTAAATAGATTATATTATGTTAAAATTTTAAACAAATTATGCATAAAAATAGATGCATAATTTATACAGTCAATAAAATAACTCTAACGAGGAAATTGATATGTTTTATGTATTAAGAATTGCAAATATTGACAGTCTCAATTGGTTAATAAAATGATCATAAAAAAATCACTAAATTATACAAAGTGAAAAAAAAGAAAAAGCAATATAAATTATGTAAATATATAATAAATGCAAAAACAACAACAACAAGATTAAAGTAAACCATGAAACTGAATAGAAGAAATTACAATAAAACTAGGGTAAAAAATACAAACTCAGAAACATAACCCCAAAATAAATCACTAAAACTTGCCTACTTACACGGAGAAGCTTAACAAATAGCTAAGGCATCAAGCAGCGAATATTACACATACTTTCCCTCACAGTAAAATGAAATGTCGTGTCTTGGTATACCCCGAAGGCTTCATAAAAGTTACATTACGTGTACGTTTATGGTCAAACTTCTACAGATTTACAGTGAATGTTTCTCAGCCGCCCCAGCGAGGATGGTCTCTTGATCTACGACCTCAACTATAACCTTGTGTTGAACGTTTCCTCAAGTGAACTCGTCTGTAACAGAACTTTTCCTTAACAAAACTCTTCCTTAAGAGATCTCTTCCTAAACAGAACTCTTCCTTAACAGATTTCTTCCTTAAGAGAACTCTTCCTTAAGAGAACTCTTCCTTAAGAGAACTCTTCCTTAACAGAACTCTTCCTTAACAGAACTCTTCCTTAACAGATTTCTTCCTTAAGAGAACTCTTCCTTAACAGAACTCTTCCTTAACAGAACTCTTCCTTAACAGAACTCTTGCTTAACAGAACTCTTCCTTAACAGAACTCTTCCTTAACAGATTTCTTCCTTAAGAGAACTCTTCCTTAACAGAACTCTTCCTTAACAGAACTCTTGCTTAACAGAACTCTTCCTTAACAGAACTCTTCCTTAACAGAACTTTTCCTTAACAGAACTCTTGCTTAACAGAACTCTTCCTTAACAGAACTCTTCCTTAACAGATTTCTTCCTTAAGAGAACTCTTCCTTAACAGAACTCTTCCTTAAGAGAACTCTTCCTTAAGAGAACTCTTCCTTAACAGAACTCTTCCTTAACAGAACTCTTGCTTAACAGAACTCTTGCTTAACAGAACTCTTCCTTAAGAGAACTCTTCCTTAAGAGAACTCTTCCTTAAGAGAACTCTTCCTTAACAGAACTCTTCCTTAACAGAACTCTTCCTTAACAGAACTTTTCCTTAACAGAACTCTTGCTTAACAGATTTCTTCCTTAAGAGAACTCTTCCTTAAGAGAACTCTTCCTTAACAGAACTCTTCCTTAACAGTTTATTTCACCTGATGATTAAGCCTCTTAATACTAACTTAACCAAATCTACATTAACTTAACACAATCTCTATTAATCAAACCTAATCTAACCTAACTTAAATTAATCAAATAAAACCTAATGTATAAATAACCTAACCTAATCTATACTACCCTAACCCAACCTAACAATTTATTTAACCTAACCTTCAGGTGATCCAGAGATTAATTATTATTCTATTTACCAGTTATCTTTCCCCATAACAGATTCAGAAGGAGACACTAACACGAGAAATACTAAAAATTTCAACTTGAATATCATAGGCCAAGTTATCTGTTTTCAATAACCTATATCTATACACGACTATTTACTGAGAGCAATTATTTTCTCTTATACCACCGGATGTCGTGCAGAATAACACAGCCTTAGCGAAGATGACTTACTGTTGACCCTTCACTCCTGCTATCATGAGCCTACAATGATGGTCTGCTTTCGGGCAATGATATACTGATTGTTGGCTTGGACACCTCAAAGGCCCTCACACGGTGTTTAGCATACAGGTCTGGTAGAGTAACTGCTAGGTATGGAGCTTTAGGGAGACTTTCATGCATTGTTTATCAGATAGAACAATACACTGTCAACAATGACCATCACTGCCATCAATGACCATCACTGCCATCAATGACCATCACTGCCATCACTGCTCATCACTGCTATCAATGACCATTACTGCCATCAAAGACCATCACTGCCGTCAATTACTATTACTGCCATCAATGCTCATCACTGCCACCAATGACCATCACTGCTATCAATGACCATTACTGCCATCAAAGACCATCACTGCCGTCAATTACTATTACTGCCATCAATGCTCATCACTGCCATCAATGACCATCACTGCCATCAGTTTCTAGTCCTTGTAGCAAGATTGTCATGATGGAGAAGGTGAGGAAACACAGACCAGCTGACTGATCACACAGCTGACTTAAGGAGAGGTGGAAGTGATTGCAATGGTTAATGGATTGTTTATATATCTTAGTGAAAGTCTGTGTAAGCTTGCAGTATGGGCAGAGAGGGAGAGAGTCATAGAGAGAGAGAGAGAGAGAGAGAGAAACTGTGAGAAGGTAGAAAACGAGAGAGTGACAGAACAATAAAACAGAACGCGAGACAGAACAGACAGAAATGAGAAAGAAGAAATGAGAGACAGAACGAGACCCAACTCACATTAAAAACATATTACATCCCCTGCCCTCACACAAAATAACAAAGAATGACGATTCATGAACAAAAAAAAAAAAATAGACAAACTGCTCTTGGAAGTACCTGTCATCTCCCCATAAATCCTGGACTTATTAGAGTTTTAAAGCATTTCTGCTTAAAATTCCAGAGTGATTTTTATGGACTGACAGGAAGCAATGGAGGAAGGCGTGACGATGAATAAGCAGGAGGTTCGCCTGACCTCTGAGAAGACGTAACCTGGAAATATTAAAGGAGGAGGAGGAGGAGAGAGAGAGAGAGAGAGAGAGAGAGAGAGGAGAGAGAGAGAGAGAGAGAGAGAGAGAGAGAGAGAGAGAGAGAGAGAGAGAATATCTCAGAAGGAAATAAAATACAGAGATACAAATGTCTAATTAAAGGCATAATGAGAAAAGAATATAGCAATATATATATATATATATATATATATATATATATATATATATATAGTATATATATATATATATATATATATATATATATATATATATATATATATATATATATATATATATATATATATATATATATATATATATATATATATATATATATATACAGTATATATACAAGAGAAGAAACGTTAAATAAATCTGAAATTGTGTTACGTTATAAAAGCCGATACACTCGTAAAAAATTATTATGACAAGGTGAGCCGAAAGAAAAACCGGAATATAAACTGATTTAACAGCATGAAGAATTAATGTAACTAATAACAAATCCAGAGAGAGGGAGAAAAAAAAGAAAAAAGAAAAAGAAAAATCCGAAGTAAAACTAAAACAATTTGTAATATATTGCGGCATATTTTATTTTTTTACCAACCGGACTTAT